TTCTAATGGGCAAGATTACAGGGACTAGATAAGCTTCCATGGGGAGGGTATATCACAGCTCTGGTTCTGAAAGGCCCACATGACTTCTGATTAGGGTGACACAAAGTAGGACCTCAGATAATGATGGCCAGAGTGTTTAAGTAGGTTCAACAAAAGAAGAAGAGCAGCAGCAGCAGCAGTAGTAGTAGTAGTTTAGGATAGGTTGAATGCATTCTCGGCAGCTCATATCCATCAAGATACATAGCATCATCTTATGACCCAGCTGAACTGGAGTACACTGTGGTCACAATCCAGAGAAGCATGATGTTAGTTCCTTCAACAGCTTATTTCTTTATGTTGCAGGTAGACTGCAACAGGCTGTTCAAATCATACAATTCCTTAGATTAAAAATGCTGCACCTCTTGAATTTCTGCTTCTTCTGGGCTTGATAAACAACTGCCCTACCCTGCTGCAGCTGCCACTGCCTATAAACCCCTCAAGAAAAGAAATAGTTTTTAAACGTTTGACTATATAAGGAACTGCGCTGTAAGCAATTTGTGTTCATTAATGATTTTGCTGCATTTTTTAATCAGACAGAGAAGGCAGAGCGTCAATTTGTAATTACTTGGGGCTGGAACTGTGTTTCCTTTTGTCTCTAAAAAGGCTTCCTCCACCAAAAGTGCTGGAGTCAGGATTATGTCTTCCTCTCTTTGCTGTTTTCTGATCTCTACCCTTTTATACCTGAGATGCTACAGACTGCAAGGTGACCCCTCCCACGCCTGTACTAACCTCCCAGCAGGCTTTGTCATATGAAGAAGGGAAGGCTTATAATCATAAGTAGGGTTGCCTAGTCCATCTTCCACCCCCAGCGGGGGACTTTGGGGGCGGCGTCCCTGGAGGGGGTGGGCCATCCCCGATATGATGACGTCACGTTGGGGACGTCCGCCACCCCCCCACCCGCCAGTGCGTCAGATCTCCAGAAATGGCAGTTCCCTGCCCTTAAAGGAGCCGGTGTTTCCCTTTTAAATGCAGGAGCAGCCGCGTTTCCCTTTTAAGAGCACGAAGCTGGCACTCCGGGATTGGGAGGAAACACGGGCTCCACACACTTAAAGGGAGAGAGAGGGGTGGGTGTGTATGGGTGGTGTGGGTGGGCTTCCCCCGCTGGCCATCTGGCCGGCGGGCGGGTAGAACCCCCCAAAAAACAGGGGACCTCTGGCAAACCGGGGGGTTTGGCAACCCTAATCACAAGGTCAACAGAGTAAAATATAGAAGGCAAAACCAATCAAGTACAGGTAGACAACTCAAATTGACTACCTAGATAGGCCAGGCTAGGCTGATCTCTTCATATCTCAGAAGCTAACCAGGTTCGACCTTGGCTAGTATTTGGATTGAAAATCTCCAAGGTATACCAGGATTGTGATTTAGAGGCAGGCAATGACAAACCTCTGAATGTCTCTTGCCTTGCAAACCTTACAGGCTGCCAGAAGTCAGCTGTGACTTGATGGCAAAAAAACCAACAACAATGCACCACATTCACAATATGATTGCTGATTGGTTAAGTGATGCAGTGAAGAAGCTGCAAAACATGATGCTGAAACAACAGTATTTCAGGGTTATTAACAAATACAACCTTTCCCCCCCAACCCCCCCCCCTCAATTCATGGAAGGTCACTCAAGGGATTTTTTCCCCATGGATACATTCTCACTTTTCAGGAGCACACCATCCACATTGAAAAAGTCTCACCTAATGAAAATTCTGAGTGCCAACTGCATGCACAGGTCTCATGCCCACAAAGGATTCATCACCATTACAGCTTTTCTAACATTTGAAGTGGAATGAGAAAGGCTAAATTTTGCAGGTAACAATGGATGCTCACAGACAGCCCTTGGGTGGGAACCTAACCAAAAGTCACACAATCTTCTGGAGACTGCCACACACAGAGAGCTTGCATGGATAGACCCTGAATCAGCCCCCAGTTCATCACAATGACCCAAGAACCTTTGTTGGCTCAACTAAAGTACTACAAAAGTCACTTGTTTAGATCTTTTTGAACTTTATTATTGTGATATAGAAAGTGGTGCTGAAAAACAGCTGCACCAAGCAAAATTGATTTTGATTCATTCAGTAATTTAAGATCCGGTGCTATGCAAAAGAAATTCAAAACAGACTATTTACTGGGTTTTGTTCTGTTGAGAAAGTAAGCAATTCATTACTAATGGAAGAATGGTTTATCTTGATATGAGCATATTTCAACTTCCTCTGACACTCCTAATCATACAGTGTTCCTAAGAAGGCTGTAGTGCTTTGTTACTTCTCAAGTATCTGTCAAATACAGTTGTTATATTAACCTAAAACTGACCTCCGGATTGCCTTCTAGGATTTTCAGTGGTGGTCATAGGCAAGTGTGTTTGATCTTATGTAGTTCTTAAATAGTTGGTCTCTGCGGAATAGCCTGGATGGAGGGGGGATTTACTAGGGGAATGGGAAACACTGGCCAGTTCTGCCTTGCAGTTGCAGAATTTTGGCACCAATTTTCACAAAACCTTAAAAATTCAGGTGGGAGACATGGACAAAGATAAGGCCTGTTCCTGCCCATCTGACAGGGCAATTGTTGTTTTTCCTTTCCTTTTCCCAAGTGATGATTTCATGTTGTCTTACTTAGTCACATTTGGTTAATTATGAATGCTTCTTGCTTTCTTTCATCGTAGTTTGACAGAAGGACCCGGGTGGATGTGGATAAAGCCATGGCCATTAGGGAAAATTTTCCTAGGTAGAGGCTGAGGGGTGGAGATGGCAATAGCAGGCATGTCCAGCAGTGTTGTGCGTGACACAGATGAGAAACTTACCACACACCTGTCTCTGCCTGCAAAAGCAAATGGACTGCAAGTCATCAGATGTACTTCAGGGATGAGCTGTGTAGTGTCAGGGGCATACTGTGGCTGCCCTACCTATCCTAATCTTCCTGAGCATCTCATCAGGAAGGTTAAATTTGAGACCAATAGCACCTTTTGTTGTTGTTTTTGCTATCAAGTCACAGCTGATTTGTGTTGACCTTGTACAGTTTTAAAGGCAAGAGACGTTCAGAGGTGGTTTGCCATTGCCAGCCTCCACATCAAGACGCTGGTATTCCTTGGAGGTCTTCCATCCAAACACTAACCAAGGCCCACCATGCTTAGCTCCTGAGATCTGAGAAGACTGGGCTAACCTGGGCTATCCAGGTCAGGGCAGTAGCTCTTTAGAGACCAACAAGACTTTCAAGGTATAAAAGGTTTTGAGAGTCAAAGCTCATACCTGACAAAGGGAGCTTTGACTCTTGAGAGCTCATACCCCCAAAATCTTGTTGACCTCTAAGGTGCTATTGGACTCTACCTGTTCTACTGCAGACCATTGCTACCCTCTGAAATTATCAAGAAAGGTTTAGCTGTGCATGTTTCCCACAGGTCTAATTGTAGTCTGTTAATCTCAAATACAGGTATGCATCTCTTCCTTCCTTCCCCTCTGCAAACCATTCTCAGCAGGTAGTACGAGAGCTGAAATTTTACTGGGGGATGCGATTCAGAAACCAGTTAGAGACAAAACTGTGATGTCCAAACCAATTACACTTTGAATTCGGTCAGCTAGATTCCAGTGATTTCAGTGGACTTTGGGCAATACTCCAGTTTAGCGTATCTGTGGATCTAGCTGTATGTTAGTTACCTCAAACAGACCTAGAATGGATACAATTTACCATGTAACTTGAATGCTGGTCACAAACCAGGCTCATTTGCTTGGAAATCAGAAAACAAGTACAGCTTTTGCATTGCAACCCTAAGCAGAGTTGAAGTCAATGGACTTAGAATGGCTTACCTCTGTTCAGGAGTGCATTGATGGTTTTGGAAAGGACTTCAGGTGACATAAAAGATGCAGAGGGATAGCAGTATTATCTTGGTATTACAACATACCACATATCTACATAACTTGAACTAATAACTTTGTTTTAAATGGCGGATTCTTAAAATGCATGGCACAATTTTTTTGGTGATTTCTTTTTTTTAATGATCACAGAGCCACAGTAAATCCTGGCCCATTGTGAATGTATGTGTATAATGCACTTCTCTGCAAGCATAAGGTTCTTTCCATTTGTTATTCACTCTTCTATTTTCAAGTATACCCTGAATATAACCTAAGTATTTACCTAAAAAATGTAAGGTGTCAATTGCCCTACCAACTTATTTCTAGAATACTTGTAGACTGGAACAAGTGATCAAATCTCACATAAAGCTGCCTTACCGTGAATCAGACCATTGGTCCATCAAGGTCAGGGTTGTCTACTTAAACTGGCAGTGGCTCTCCAGGGTCTCAGGTAGAGGTATTTTACATCACCTATGACCTGCTTTACCTGCTCTTTTCAAGTGGAACTGCTGCCAGTGACTGAACATGGGACTAGAGGTGTGCAAAAAAACTCAACAATTCGGCCCATTGGGATTCCGCCGAATCCAGCAGAATCAATTTCGGCTGGCAGTAAGACTCCCACATGTCAGTTTCGTCAGTAAGTTCTCGGCCAGCCGAATGTCAATTTCAGCCCCATTATATCCTATGGGCCATTGGAGTCAATGGCGAAAACATAGGGTATATTCTCAGGGCTGGAGGGGAGGGAGCTTGAGGGAGAGACTCCAAACTCGCAGGGTAGCTGCTGGAGCCTCTCCCCAAAATACCAACCAAGTTTCAAGAGCATTGGAACAGGGGGTCCAATTCTGCGGGCCCTCAAACAGGTTGCCCCCATCCCCTCTATTGTTCTCTATGGTGGGAAAAACTATATCCATGCTTGGGAACATCAGGAAAGCTGAAAACTTATGGTAAATGATGACTCGTGCCTAGTGGTCTGAACAAAAGTCTGAAAAGCAATAATGGAGAAATGGTGGACCAAGCAAGTGGACAAGATTAAAAATTCTGGAATCCTAAAATAAGAGAAGAAATTCAGATGAAGCGTATCCCAACTTAATGGTATAATGCTTATTTTTTCAGGGAGATGCTACCTTACCTCCTTCCTTAGAACAAAGGCTGACTAGGCTGTGAACTGTGTCCATCAGCTCCAGCTGCTGTTTCTGAAGAATACTGTTGTTGGTTGTTGCTTTGCTCAGCTGCCTTTCTAATTCCTGAATGATGTAGCTTTGACGCAATACCAACCCTTGCAAGTTCTCTTTTTCTTCCTTCAAAGTATCCAGCTCCCCTTTGTGTCTTTCTTCCATTTCAAGGATTTTGTGCTCTAGTAGACTGAGAAAGAGAAACAACAACACCATGTTTGTTAATATTCATGTAAATCAACAGCTGCTTCTCAGTTGGAGGTTGGGGAGAAAAGGCTATCTACCTCTGAACCTCATGATGTTTTATCATTCACATGTTTGCATGGGCAATGCACAAAGGTATCTTCAAGATGGCTTCCTATTCTTTTGGGGAAGACTGTAGTCCCAAGTGCATTATTTTGCCATCTTGATGGAAAGGCACACCTTTTCAAAGGTTCTGCCCATGTCAGTGCCGTTTTCCTTCCATCAGCCTCTCATAGGCACCATTTTCACTGCCATACAACTGGTGACCTTAAGAAAAATCCATGATTTTTATAGCACTACAATGCTATAGCACGTTAACTCTACAATTTAGTGGTGGTGAAAAGAGCAGTCAAGTCACAGCCAACTTTTGGAGACCCTGTAAGGTTTTCAAGGCAAGAGACATTTAGAGGTGGCTTGCCATTGCCTGCCTTTGCATAGTGCCCCTAATAGTCCTTGGTGGTCTCCCATTCAAATGCTAACAGGGACAACCCTGCTTAGCTTCTGAGATCTGAAAAGATTGGGTCAGCCTGGACCATCCAGGTCAGGACCTATACAATTTATGATTTTTAAGGCCCTCAAAAAGCCTCTGAAGGTGCAGTGGGGAAAATGTAGGGGAAATGGCAGCTGATAGATGACACTGCACTGATAACTCCTTTTGAAAGTGCTATTTTAATTAGGACAGTAATGAATGTCAAATGGAGAATCCTTGCTGCGTAGATGGAATCTAAGATCTCCAGGTAACTCAAACAAAACAACATATCTTCATATAGGGGTGAATATATTTCACCCATTCTGTTCCTCTATTGTTCCATCAGACTGTTCTGCCCTGCATTCCAGTTTACCTAAGAGATGACCCTTTGAAGTAGTTTAGTCTCAGTTACTCTGATAGAAGGTCTGGTCCAAGGCAATACAATGAACTTCCCTGGCAGACAGGATTTCAAACCTGAGTCACCCAGATACTAGTCCAACATTCTAATCACTGCACCACTGATTCAGGATAAATTAATAATAAAATAATTTAAAATTATAAAATAATCCTGCTAATAAAACAGTTTTAAACATTTTCACTCTCTCATAATGCTATAGCACTATAACAATTTAACTATGACAATCCTTTAAGAACATAAGAGAACCCAATGTTGGATCAGGCCAATGGTCTATCTAGTCCAACACTCTGTCACACAGTGGCAAAAATACCAGGTGCCATCAAGAGGTCCACCAGTGGGGCCAGGACACTAAAAGCCCTCCCACCGTTGATTCCCCCAGGCACCAAGAATACAGTGCATCACTTGACCCAGACTGAGAGTTCCTATCTATACCTTGAGGCTAATAGCCACCGATGGATCTCTGCTCTGTATGCTTATCTAATTCCCTCTTGAAGCTGTCCATGCCTGTAGCCACCGCCACCTCCTGTGGCAGTGAATCCCATGTGTTAATTACTCTTTGGGTGAAGAAGTACTTCCTTTTATCTGTTCTAACCCGACTGATCAGCAATTTCATTGATTGCCCACGAGTTCTTGTATTGTGAGAAAGGGAGAAAAGTACTTCTGTCTCAGCCTGCTCTATCCCATGCATAATCTTATAAACTTCGATCATGTCACCCCTCAGCCGTCGTTTCTCCAAGCTAAAGAGCCCCAAGCACTTTAAACTTTCTTCATAGGGAAAGTGTTCCAACTCTTTTATCATTCTAGTTGCCCTTTTCTGCACTTTTTCCAAAGCTATAATATCCTTTTTGAGGAGTGGTGACCAGAACTGTACACAGTACTCCAAATGAGGTTGCACCATCGATTTATACAGGGACGTTATGATACTGGCTGATTTGTTTTCAATACCCTTCCTAATAATCCCCAACGTAGCGTTGGCCTTTTTTATTGCAGTTGCACACTGTCTCGACATTTTCATTGAGTTATCTACTACAACTCCAAGATCTCTCTCTTGGTCAGTCTCTGCCAGTTCGGACCCCATCAATGTGTATTTATATTTAGGATTTTTGGCTCCAATGTGCATCACTTTGCACTTGGCCACATTGTACCCCATTAGCCACGTTGACACCCACTCGCCCATCCTTGACAGATCCCTTTGGAGTGCCTCACAATCATCCCTGGTTCTCACCTGGTTCTCTTTTCCCTTCCCTTCCCCACAACAGACACCCTGTGAGGTGGGGGGGGGCTAAGAGAGCTCTCTCATGAACTGCCCTTGAGAGAACAGCTCTGAAAGAACTTTTGACTGACCCAAGGTCACACCAGCAGCTGCAGGTGGCAGAGTGGAGAATCAAACCCAGTTCTCCCAGATTAGAGTCCGCACTCTTTACCACTACACCCAACTGGCTATATATAATATATATAACGAGAGCGAGAGAGAGCGCACATATAAACACCACATATACTGCATCTAAAAGCCATACAACATGTGTACACAATATGGATAAATCTGGCAAACTAACAGCAAAAAGCCGAAAAGTCAGGCCATTACACATATAAAGCAATGATATAGGAAGCATTCCTTCATCTCTTTTAAAAGGGCCATTTTTCACTGAGTAAGGAAATGTCATATTTTTGGAATACGGTTGACAAAGTCTTATGCTTGTAACATCTGCAAGACAGGCAGCAATGGACACAAGATACTTTCCCCCAGAACGGAGCTGCAGTGCTAAGTAAAATCATCTTGCACTGATTTTCTCCCTGTGAAGTCCAAATCTAGATATGGTGGTTAAAAGTAGATGAATTTTTTTTCCCATCAGGAACAGTAGCATCCGGGAATGCAAAACCTGAAGTCAGTGCTGAAGTTCCTGCTCGGCAAAACATCTGGGACATTTCAAGAGAAGCAAAAAAAAAAAAAAATTTTTAAGAGGTTCCAAAAGACCAGTGAGCAATCATTGGCAGAGGGCCTCAACATACCCCAGACCCTGTTCTGAAGAACACCACTCACAGCTCTGGCCCAGCCTGGACAACTGGCAACACACTCCTACAATATGGAAGGCTTTCCAATAGTAGTGGTTGGCTGAAGAGCCAAGACGATCAGAACATTGTTGTGTAAAAGAGAAAATCATTTTCTTAAGACATTTTTCCAATGGAAAAATGTTTATAACCTGATGAAATCTATTGTTTTTTTACATATTTTTAATGTATTTATACCCCACATTTCAGCCATATCGACCCCAAACTCAATTTTACATTATTTTGTATGTAATTGTATGGTTGGTCAAAGGATGTATCCACACTTCACTGGAAACTGTGTTATTGCTGTGCTACAGTGCTCTTAAGAATAGGAAGGTGATATGTCATTAAAAAAAATAAATGGATGCAGTGACTTCCCTTTAAAATTCAACACAAGGCACAATTCCTGGATGCAATTGCCAGGACTTTTAGCTGTGGAGGATGCTTGTTCTGCATTCTCTAATTCTGCCCCTCCCCCATTTCTTGTGATCTGAGTTGATCTTGACATAACTTGTCTGGTCGTCCTGGCCATCCAGTTTGGTGTAGTGGTTAAGTGTGTGGACTCTAATCTGGGAGAACCAGGTTTGATTCCCCACTCCTCTACTGTTGTCCAGCAAGAAGCTTTGTGCGCTTTTATGAATATAAATGGACTGTGTATAAAATGTGCAAAAGGGACTCTGATGTAAGGTGACCAGATTGTGATGCCAAACACGCACCAGCAAAAGCCTGAGACGACATGCCCTTGGATCCCTAGGTTACCCCATTCCAGATGTATCCCTAGATACATGGAACACTCCAAAACAACCATCTGCCATTGCTGTTTAAACTAAGGACTCCCAATGCCATTAAAGAAGTCCTTCTTCATCACGCTGGCAGCCCCCCCCCCTGCATTGAAGGCACAAAAAACTCTTTCCGACTTTCTGCTTGACAAAGGACTTGGCCTTCCTCATCCATTCCAGGAACCGGTTCTGCAGCCCTGAGACAAAGAACACAATAGGTGCTAGCCAATGAGTCATCACGACCCTCGAGGTGTCTCTGTCACAAGTTCAGTTAGAATTCAACATTGACCAACCCCTTAAGTCCCTTTTCCCATTGCAGATGTGACTTTTGGAATGGACCACCAAGGGGTGGTCTCAAGGGAGGTGGCCAGCAAAGCCCTCCCCCCCAGAGCCCCCATACAAAAGTGGGCACCCAGCAATGTGCTCGCTCTCTACGCCCTCTCCATGCCTTCTATACGTCCTTTCTAGCTCTTTAGCCTTTTAGCTCTTGCTATCCTGAAACCCACCCTGCCTCTCTAAGACTCTTGGACTGCAGCCAGAGTCTTCCACGTGCTTCTGCCGGTTCAAAGCATGGTTTTCATTTCCTAGCATAATTCTCATTTCTTATTAGTCTCCCCTATTTTTCTACTGGGACGCATCATTTCATCAGACAGTTAACGATCTCCTGCTCATGCGAACATCTCTTGATTGTCTATCTAATTTTCTTAGAAGCTGTGTAATTGTGTGTGTGTGCTTGTGTATTGTTTGTTTGTGAAGAATCTCCAGTAAAAGGAAACCAGTTTTATACTGAAACCAGCCTCCGTGTCTATTTCTGGTATCTTTGGAAGAAGCGGGACCTCTGTATATACAGGTGTTTGTTTCCTTATTGTCTATTGCTATTTTATAATATATTCCCCGATATTGATAAGAACTCAAAGTAATTTGGCTAACAACTCGCAGCTGCTGGATGACCTTGGCAAGCCATAGTTCTGTCAGAACTGTTCTTGAAAAAGAGCAGTTTCTGTCAAAGCTCTCTCAGCCCCACCTACCTCACAGGGTGTCTGTTGTGGGGAGGGGAAGGGAAAGGAGTTTGTAAGCCGCTCTGAGACTCTGAGTGAAGGGCGGGGTATAAATCTAATCTCTTCTTCTTCCTCTTTCTCCTCCTCCTCCTCCTCCAATGTATTTTTATTTGAAGCCAATTGCTCAGATGCCGTTTCAACTTTTCTACACACAAAAGAAGCTTCACCAAATAA